TTAAATAAATCAAGTGATCTCTGACTTTTGGACAGTACCGTAGATTTAAGACTATGATGGCACCTGGTCATTTACTGGATTACATGACGACACCTGATCTTCACCTAGACCATAGACATTATCAGGAGTCAGAATAACAGCACAGAAACTCAAATCCATAGAAAACCATGAAGATGTGTGAAGTTCTTCCACTTAAAAAACTGATAAAAGACATTTTGGAGGTTAAAATCTGTACAATATATTGTCCAGTTAAGCACTGGCCTGGTGATCATGACTTAATCAATTAAAAGTCCTACTGTTTGAATCAATCTTCTACATTGTTCCAGAAAACATGCTCCTCAAGCTCTTCATGCAGGACTACCCTCTGGTGCTGAACAAAGAACAGCTGGCTGCGGAAGTTCCCTATCCGGGTGGGAGCTCTGAGCTAGAGTTCTTTGTGGAGGGTCTTCGCTTCCCAGATAAGGACTTTGAGGGGCTGGTCACCATCAGCCTCAGCCTTTTAGAGCCCAGTGCCCAGGTAGTTCAAGACACAACTGTGTTCACATTTCAGCAATTGCGCTTAAATATGTTAAATACTACTGGAATTTTGTAATTTTTTTGCTCTTGAGAAAAAAAGTTGTGCTTACTTTTCCTAGATGTTAATCAGTGAAACATAAGGCTCTCTACTGATTGTTTTTTAGGATTTTCCAGAGACACCTATCTTCACTGATAAGGTTGTTTTCCGTGTTGCCCCTTGGATCATGACTCCCAACATCCTCAAACCTGTGGAGGTCTTTGTGTGTAGGTAAGACCACATCAATTCATCAATCATCTTTAATCTTGCAGAGATTACATTATAGTAATCTGATAACCACAAATCAGTTAATCATTACCTTTAATCTGTAACCAATTAAAGATCAATCAGGTAAATGAATGCTGACAATGCCCTGCCTCAGAGTGACTCAGACACATCTTCAGTGCCTGTCCTGTCAGAATGCAGCCACCTATGCATAGTTCAGCCACATGTTTTGCTGAAAGCACTGCTGAGGCAGATATTTGAGGGGTGAATATAGAAGAGCTATACTAGATATTTGCACTCGAATCCACAGCTAAACAAATAAATACTAAACCCTTTTTTATGCACTGGCAGCACATCAGACAACTACGAGTTTCTGAAGGGCATGCGAAATCTGGTGCAGAGCAGTGGATACAAGCTGAACATATGCCATGAGTACATGAACCGAGGAGATCGCTGGATGCAGGTTTGTGCCCGCTTGTCTTTTCATTCGTTAGAAATGCAGCAGGTATGCTGAATATTTTAGAGCACTGTTTGATGCTGGTGATGTGAATAATCACTTCTGCTCCCGCTCCACAGGATGAGATTGAGTTTGGCTACATTGATTCACCACACCAGAGATTCCCTGTTGTGCTGGACTCTCCACGAGATCAAAAACTTAAGGAATTTCCCTACGAGGTCTTACTGGTATGATTAATAGTCCAAGCTTGCAGCTTTAATTCCATTGTCACTGATATATATTAACCCCTGGGGACCCAAGCATTGCCTTTATTTTGTAATATTTTTTTTAGGAAGAAACTTGGGTTTTAAAGATTACACAATATTATGATTGTGATTTAAATAAAGTTAAATTTTCTTTAATATTAATGAATCTACAGCATGGAATGATGATTTGTATGTTTTATTTATTTTTTAATCTTTTGTTAATTTGTTTATATTAAATATGTTGGGAATGAAGGATATCACAGCTCAGATACTTGAAAGAAAGGAAGCAGAGATGTTGTTTGACTTTGTCATGCTGTGAAATTGATTGTCATTATTTTCAACACAAATTATGCTGTTAGGACATGTAGTTTTAGTGATATTTAGTCAGAAGTAGGCATAAATAGAGCCTTTAAACTGTTGTAAACAATTTTGCAGCAGAGGGTCCCTGAAGGTTAAAGCCAGTGAAGGAACTCCTAATCACTTTTGGGATGAGTTGGAGTGATGTTTGTGATCAAAACTCATCCAACATCAGTACCTGACCTCACTAAAGCTCTTGTGGCTGAATGCCGTCAAATCCACACAGCAATGTTCCAACTAGTAAAAAGCCTTCCCAGAAAAGTAGAGGCTGCTCCTCCAGCATAGCAGGAACAATGTCCCTATTAAAACCATTTCAGAATTTCTGAATAAATGATTTCGGCACTTCTAACATCTTTCTTAGGGTCCAGACTTTGGCTATGTGACCCGTTACGCTCAAAAAGAGGAGGTAAGCAGCCTGGATTCCTTTGGTAACCTGGAGGTCAGTCCACCAGTCACTGTGAATGGAAAGAACTACCCACTAGGCCGGATCATCATTGGTGTGGCCTTCCCTACGTGAGTCCCAACCCAGAGGTCTCAGATGGTCTTTAACAATGTTGATCAGAATCATATTCACATGTTCACATCTGTCTGCTTCTGTCTTACCAGTACAGCACATGGTCGCAACATGACTAAAGTGATCCAGGACTTTTTATGGGCTCAGAAAGTTCAGGAGCCCATTGCCCTCTACTCTGATTGGCTGTTGGTGGGCCATGTGGATGAGTTCATGACTTTTGTCCCAGCTCCTGATAGAAAGGTAAATAACTGCCCTGTATTTAAAAAATACATCAGTCCAGATTTTGTCCACTTTGAGATTTTCTGCGTTCCATGTTTCCACACTATCTATTTTATTGCTCATCACTAATGCTTCTATTAGCCTACTGCCTCTGATGGGTGATACTGCATGTTTACTGTTATCACTGACTTTTTCAATGATTTCATTGACCAGGGATTCAGACTGCTGCTGGCCAGCCCTGATGCAGCATATAAAGTTTTCACAAACTTGCAGAATAATGGACACGGAAAAGCTAAACTGTTTCAAGGTGAATGCCTGTACATTTCTACCTGAACAGTCCACTGTAAGAATCACTTGCTGTATCATTTGTAAACACTGTTTATGTTTTACCAGGCAAAGAAGAGGAGATCAGTGTTGATGAAATTTTGAGCAACGAGGAACTTCAAGCAGAGAACGTATATGTGCAGGTTAGTGCTCTGGTTCAAAACAGTGGTCCTGTGAAACACAGTACAGTACAGTGGCCCCTCTGACAGACTACATCTGTCCTGGACTAAATTAAACAGGGGAAAATCTTTGCAGTACAGAACGTGGATTTATCTACATTTGGTAAAACATGCATGAAAATGTTCAGTATCTCCTCAATACAAACAATAATCTCTATCTCTCTCTCTCATTCAGAACTGTATTGACTGGAACAGAGATGTTCTGAAGAAAGAGCTTGGACTAGATGAAGATGACATCATTGATCTACCAATCCTGTTTAAAGTGGACACTGAAGAAGAAAACAGAGCTGTGGCCTACTATCCTGACATGGTAGAGCTTGATCACTCAGTGAATTGATAATGCAGTATACTCTTATTACATGCAGTTTGTTTTATAGCTTGCTAAGCTAAATAGTTAAAGGTACAGCAGCATTTGTTTTGGATTTTTTAAGGGGGAATTGCATTGATTTTTCTGCATAATTAAGTTGTTAAGATGTAAAGTCATTCAGAGTTTGATATCAAATGCTCTATTCCAGTGAAACCTACCAAATCAGCATTGTTCACAGTGGTTGTGATGGGAACCCGGCATCTCAAGAGTTGAATGCCTCTAAAAGCTACATCACAGAAAGTTACAACAAATCGTTGCATAATGTCTAAAACATGGTTTTACAAAAATATTTTTAAATACATTCATGGCAGAGAGAAACATAAGGCGAAGTAGTGTTTTACCACTATTTTACTGTTATCAACATTCCTTTTAAAACTCAGAAGACACATGTATGCTCATTGGACATTTTGGATAGTAAATAAAATGGCCAAATTTGTGTTGTAGACACCTTGACCCCTGGTTCCTCTCACCACCTATCATAAAAGAGTTGGCAAGTTTCTCTGCAAAGCACAATTTCACACATCAAAACTCTCTGAATGACTTTGTTACATCTCTGTGATTGAATTCCGCAGCAATATTTTGGAAAAATCCCTATTTAAAATTTTCCTAGGTTAGAGACCTGCGTGAGCCTTTACTTTTTATTACCATGCAATATTCCATACCTAATATTAACTTTTTTAAAGCTGAAAGATCTGCTTATTAGTCCCTTTACATATCTCAGCTCACCTCAAAATCAATTTAATTATGGGACATTTGAAAGATCTGTACATGTTCCTCAGTAATGAAAACTAAACGTTCACTCACTCACTATCTCAGCTGTTCATCCTCCTGGTTCAGGGGGTGCTGGAGCCCATCCCAGCACTCACTGGGTGGAGAGCAAAACTAAATGCTTTACCTTGCAAATATTTTCACTTGAATTATACATTATCTGTACTGTGTGAAATTGTTAACTTTACATGTCTGCCTGCAGGTGAACATGATCGTGCTGGGTACGAAGCTGGGCATTCCCAAGCCGTTTGGGCCGCAGGTGAACAGCAGCTGTGCCTTAGAGGCAGAGATGCGCTCTTTGTTGGAGCCGCTGGGTCTTAACTGCACCTTCATCGACGACTTTTCCTCCTATCACAAGCTCCTGGGTGAGGTGCACTGCGGATCCAACGTGCTTCGAGAACCTTTCGCATTCAAATGGTGGAACCTGGAGCTGTGAGACGGTAGAGGGCAGCAGAAATGATACCACTTGCTAAGAGCGCATGCAGTTTTCTGAGCAAACATTTACAGCATTTTCATATGCAATAAAAAACTAAAATGTTTAACACATTCACGAGTTTACTTTATATAAAGCAAATAAGGGCTAAGAATTTTCTAATGAGTAGCTTAACAAGAGGTGTTACCTACCGACCACTGAGAGAATTAGGTGGAGCTTATTTCAGGGTCCACTGTTAGATCTTTTTTGTTTTTATTAGTCCTGTCTTTATTTCTGTTTTGTTATAGACTGGTTTATAGCTACCATTACTGCCTCAATCAAGAATCGTTTTTGTTGTTTTAATGAAATGAAACTCAGTGTAACACAGAACCTTTTATTTTACACTGCAGAAATCAATAAATCAATATAAACATTCCACAGATCCTGTCATCTTTATGAAACGTGATTTCTGTCATTTTATTTACAAAAAGAGCATGTGCGGGGGTGGGGGGTACTTTATTTACACTTAAGCTTTTTATACAAGTACCACACAAAGCATTTACTGTCAGAGAAAACACATGTACAATCAGTTTGATAATGGCAATATCAGTCTGCTTGGAATGAATTTTAGCTTACTGTCACTTCTAGCATACAATAAACAGTCTGATGAATGACAAAGACAAAGTGTGTACTAACAGGCCCCTACCACTGGAGGGCGCATGTATCTCATATTTGACATCACATTGAAGGCGGCAGCAAAACGCACAGCAACGTCAGACCTTTATTGTATGAATTGCTATATTTCCTCTCAAACTGCAATCACATGGCATTAAAAGACCAACTCCTTTAAGCAGTGCATTCAATTCAAGACTAAATTCTGGACCTGCTGCCAAAAACCTGCTTCAGTTTCAGTTGCTCACTAGATACCAGTCATAAAAAGTTTGTCTTCACATTTAATCAACATTTCATATTTTACAAACCATAAATTACATAATATGAAACAAAGAAATGTTTTACAGAATCAACACAGTTGCTTGATATTTAAAGCATCATGGAAAAATAAGTGTGTCAGTTACAGTGAACGAGGGAACCAACAGAAAAGATTAGATTACATCTTAATCAGAAATAACTGGACAGAGCTTATTTCTGATCAGACATCAGACAAGTACCCAGTCTCCTCCAGGATTTACATTCAAATAGCTTACTGTTCCCCTCTGTAGGACGCAGTAGGATTTCAGACAGAGCAGGTAAAGCTGTAGAAGGCAACTTCAGAACAGTTCACAGTAGACAGCACAGTGAATAAGTTCTTCAAAAAACGCTAAGAGGCAAAATCCCGACATTTGTTAGTAACCTACTTTGTGCAGCTAGTTGTGCTCACAAGAACCAACCAATGAAATCTTAAAGTCTGAACCAGTTCCCAACGCAAATATACATTTCTACAAAAACAAAAAAAATCAGTATTAACTGTAGAAGTCAGCAAAGCCATGAACAATGGAATGAGTGTCAGGAGAGCACTCACCAATACTTGGAAAATTAAAAAAAAACAAAATTCCACCACAAGTTAGTCCATTTGATGAGATCTGAAATGGCTTATGTGGTCAATACAAGCAGCAGAATAGTTCACAGTTAATAACAACACAAAACATTTATCAATATCCAGTTACCAACATCATTATTCATAACTGACAAACATAAAAAAAACTTTACCGCTGATAAAAAAGGAAAACTGCATGTAAGTGAGTGTTATAGTGCAGTGCACTTTCATCCTTATGTGTTCTGGGTCGGCTTATCTGTGTCAGGAGCTTTGTGAAGTGTAAGACTATGGAGAGCTTTGGAAGAGTCGCCCTGTCTGCTTCCCACCTTAACCATCAATAAATAAATAAATAAATAGCACATACACCGGAAACAATCAATAAGACAAAATCAGGGCAACCTGTAAAATAGAAGGTGGCAGCTTAATGCGAAAAGGAAAGAAAAGGAGCGAGAGAGAAAGGGTGCAGAGCCTATGTGGCTAAGGCCATAAGGCCGTACCCTGGTAAAGCAGACAGAGGAGTAACTGTTAGAGACACACTCCATAATAAGCGATGCATTGTTACCATGGCGTCTGCTTGAAGGGCCGCCTCAATAACCTGCTGCGGCCAAACGGCATGCTGGGAGGCATTATCAGTCACATGATGCAGACGAAAAGGGGTGTGTCCTTAAAACAGGGACAGACAGGGATCCCAGGCCACACGGGCATAATTGTGGGCCGTGTTGCTATGACGATCAGCGATCAGCTCCTCTCCTCCACCGAGTCTCTGGAGGAGCCACAGCGTCTCCACTAGGAGGAGCTGCTTATGGGAATGCTGAAAGAGAAAAATTTGAACTGTTTGTTCAAAACCAGATATATGGGCTTTACCGGTCAATTAACCTGTTAAATACAAATAATGGCCACTTTGATCATTTATGCAATACAATCTGTAACTGCAGAACTTGTGCACCTATATGGTAAGTTGACTTGATATAATAGACAATGAGTGTAGATACAAGATAGGTTTATACTGTCAGAAAAGGGACCGGGTACATATTAAACCTTCAAGGTGCAAATAATATAAACATACCCTTAAAGGTACAAAATGATGTGTACCTTAAATAAGGACTTTTTTTACCTTTTCTTTAATAGAACTTTTTTAAAAAGCCTGGAGAGGATGTATGGAATTGCAATGCAACTTACAAAATAGTTGCAAAAAATATGGCACACTTATGTTCCCAAACTAAAGCTGCTGTAAACGTAACCCTGAGCATACCACCCCAATGACAGCTCAGTATCTTTTTTCTAAGAGAGTTGCTAATAAAGTGGCCAGTGAGAGCATCAGTCAAATGTACTCACTATAGCTTTAAAGTTCCATGAGGCTATCATAGAACAGAATATGAATAAAAAACTAATGATTGTTAGTGTGCCTAAGGCATGATTCTAACAAAGTGTTTCCCTCACAGCATATCTGAGTTAGAAAGTCAAACCTGCTGATGGACATCCATGAAATAATCTGTGAAGAGAGCCTAGCAGTTCTGCACAGGAGACATACACACACAAAATGACCAAATAAGCCAGCATAAAACACCATCACAGGCATTACAGGACATGATTCATGAAACTACAAAAGGAAATGTTATTATTAGCAATTCACAACTGTCTAGTGATCAATCAATCATTAAGTGACTGTGACAAGTCCTCACCGATGCTGAGTGCTGTCTCTCTGTTTTGGGCCGAACAGGGGCTGTGAAGTGAAATGCAGTTAGAAAAATCAAGCAGGGTGCATTTTTACACATTCTTCACACGTGACTTTATGAGGCACTATCAAAATATAAGGCTAAGAACAGTACATGTATTCGAGATCACAGACCTGGTGAGCTGCCTTGGCTAGTACTGCTCATGCTGTCCTCCAGCCAACCAGCGCTGTACGTGAACGAGTCTCGCTTATGAGGGGTGCCGGCAGAGGACAGGCTCTCCTGAAGCACAGCACAGAAGCATGTACACAGGGACACAGACAAGAAAAGATTCACAGTGAGCATGTCGTTTGCTCTTTGTGCTATATTTTTAAGGCCATTCAAGTGCATGCTAAAAGTAAACAAATGACTCATAGTATTCTTATGCAATCATGCTAATGGTAAAATACCACTGTAAGAAGTAAAACTCATCACATGAGTATTATTGGGCTAACTGAGTGTTCTTGCTCTATTAGTAATGTGTCAGCATGAGTGAGAGAACGTGGGCAGGTACCAGTCCTGTGTCATATTCCTCTGCAGCTTCATGTTCTTGTTCGTTCTCCTCCACCACACTGGCAAAGCTGCTGGCGTTGGACGAGGAACGAGACAGATCATGATTCTCTGGGATGGAAGGTGCTCGACACACAGCCGAACTGTTAAAAAAATCAGTGGCCACCAAAAGTGTCAATGCCATGACAGACCCAAGACTTAACAACTAATTATGATTACAGTAATGTAACTGAAACATCTAATTAATAATAATAATAATATATAACAATACAATATAATGTCTTGTTCATATCATTGCTCACCTGGTCCTAGTGGTGGGCATCTCCGGTGAGCTATGATTGGAAGAGTTATCAGACTTGGGGTCCTGCGAGGCGTGCCCACTGTCAGGTGTTTTCTGTGTGCTAGGGGACACATCCCTACTACTGAGAGAAAAAACACACATATGTGCAGCATTTTCCACATGCGTGAGTAAATTTTTAACCTTGAATTGAATACTATAAACTCACGACCTCTCCTCCCCAGCTCCATTGTTGTATTATATTTTACTTTATTACTTTATTTTATTGTAAGAAAAAATGTTTTGACAATTTAACACTACCAAAGCTAGCAGTTCATACATCAATTTGTGTTAGATACAGGAGTAGAGATAAGGTACATGACTACTACTACGGATGTGTATGAATAGCTGGTGATGCACTCATGCACCTGTGGGGTTAATGGCAGAAAGTGGTTGAAAATCAGCCGTTCTCACCTTCTCTCCTGGACCTCCTGGATGTTCTCGATTCCAATGGCGCTGCTCCGTCTGGAACTGAATGGGCCTGATTTCTTCCGGGTCGGGCTCTTCCCAGGGATGATCAAAGACTGTGGTTGAAAACCCAGAAATCAGTCAGATATGGCTTGAATTTGGAGCTGCTGACAAACCCTGTCGATCCACTTAATAACTTAGCAGTTAAATCATAAAAAATCACATCTACTAAAAACTTTGTATGAGTGCTTGCGTATTTTACTCAGTATCATTCTCAGTATATTTATGGTGAAAAAAGCTCCCAGCTGACATCCTTTTGGAAGCAATGCAGCTCGGAATTGAGATTCAGCTTTTGTCAGCTTGTCAGAAGAGGTTATGTCTTTGTTGCCATGGTGTTTATTGTGGTGGACACATGTGGCAGTAGAAGGAACGGCCAGACACTGTGAAGAGCTCCATCTGCTATGCTGTCTGGATCAGTTTATTGTTGCAGTGTTAAGTGGCGAGGATCAGTAAACGGCTGTGGAAATCTGCCCCGAGATCAGTGCTCCGCATCTCACTGATGCCACTGACGCGCCGCATGGGGTTAGGGTCACGGTCCACACCAGCTGTGGTCATGCACAGCAGGGCACAGAGAGCAGAGAGAGCAGAGAGGATGGCACTAATTCCAGCTGGCACACTGTGTGCTTCGTGGGAACCATAGCGTTTGTCTGAACAGTTTTCAGAAACATTCAAGCCAACTCACAGGTAGTTTGGTAGTAGGTTTAGATTCCTACTGAATAACACTGCCTGGACAGGCACTATAATGGAAGCAGTCAATCACTTTGTTGTAATTTTCAGTGGCCTATGTATGATAAGTCCTTTGGGTCATACAGTGAGTGCGTATACATGCACTCAATAATCCGATCATAATTGGATTTCTGCCGTTATCAGATTATTCAAATGGTCATGCAAAAGCCATACTCCAATCTAGAAATCCGACAAAGAAATTTGATAAAGAGAGCTGGATTTTAGCTCAGTAATCAGATTTCTCAGTGAATGTTTATTCGTACTCCGATTTCTATCGAATTTCTCAGCCTACGCATGAGTGAGAACAGACGGTGGATGTCGCGAGACGGCAGCAAAACACTTTTGGAGGCGCTGAAACCAAACAGGAAATAAAGGATTTAAATATTCTTCATCTTCTAAATGATGTATGTCCATATTTTCAGGTAAAGTGGCGCAGTGTCTAAAAAAAATGCGACATGAAGTTTGAGTTTTACATTACGTTTACGTCACGTCTTCCTCTGTGAGTTTATTGGCTGGTTGCAAAGTAGAAATCTGATTACTGCGTGACTCATGTAGACCCAGAGTTTTCCATTATCTGATTACTCAAGAGCATGTAAACGTGTTGATCGGATTACTGATTTCCTGCAGTTTTCAGATTATTAAGTGCATGTAAACGCACTCAGTGTTAGGCAGACTGTTTTTTTCACAGATCATTCATACAAATTACCTGGGGGCTACACATTTGAAACATTTAGAAAACTGACACCATCATCTGGCTATTTTCTACTTCACTGAAATTGAGAAACAAACCTTGTGACATTTTTTCCTCTAGATTTTAAGTTTTTTTTTTTTTTAATGATTTTACAGTAATTGACATTGACACTGAACAGTTCATAATGAACAAACCAAGAGAAAACATGTTTTGCTTCTTCTATGAAGTTACCATATCATAGCTAAACTTTCTCATGGCAGTGATGATAGAAAGTAGAAGGAATACTCACAATGCCTGGTGTTTTGGGGGTGTCTGGAGGATTGTGGGTAAAGCTGCCGCTGTGGCTGGTTGAGACAGTGTGAGGCTTCTTATTGCTCAGGCCCATAGCATCCATAGACTGACTCCTACTGCGAATTACTCTCTACGAACAAAAACACAGAGTGAGATAACTGATCACAAGTGTCCAACACTACAGAGCAGAGCCTAAATCTGGGCTGTGAGAAAGGAATGAGAACTGAGAGAGAGAAAGAGACAGAAAGGTGGGAAGGGATAAAAATGAACAAGAAGTAGTGTCAAAAATCCTGTGCCTGACACTGAAACAGCTTCCTACCTTGAAAGATTCAAAAAAGCCTCCTCCACTTCCCCCTCCATTCTCCATCTTGTCATCCTCTCCTCCCAATCCCATCATGCACTGGCTGTTCACATGCAACTCCTCATACAAAGTCTCCAGCAGTGCAGAGCGTGTTCTCTCCTGCATACACAGATATACACAATGCAGTGGGCTGCTCTCTCCACATGTGCCAATATTAAAATGATAAAGTATACCACGATATTCAACTTTGAAAATTCTGTTGCTACATTTTAGTCAAGTTCTCCAGATACACAGAGTAGTGCTGGTTTTATGAGGTTCCATCGCAGTGTCACATTGTGATCCCCTGCTTTATTTGATGTTTGTACAGTTGTTTTAATGTGTTATTGGTCTAAGCACCTTCACAGCTTACAGTAAGAGCCACAGTACTATCCTTTCATATTCAATGTGGTAGCTACAGTACCAGCGGTCTGCCTCCTGGCGCGAAAGGGGGAAAATAAAGACATGGCATCTATTAAGGCCGTCAAAAAAAAAGAATCCAAAAATGGATGAAGACTGCTGTGCTGTTACACAAAAAGCCACCAGGAAAGACCAAAATCTCCAAAACATATAACCACCAACACATTATTGTTAATAAAGAATGACAGCACAAAAGAGGGTACTGTACAGGTACATTTTAGACCACTAAAGAACGATGTAAATGTTAAACATACAAACCGTTCCTTAAGGTCCAACTGTATACCTTAAATGAGTTTTAATGGCACATGAAAAATAGTGACAAAAGGTTAGCACTATCATGATATTACATTATTATCAGCACATGCCTACTATTACACTACATTTTCAACATGAACTGTTTGTTAACTCTTTAAAGACAAAAAAATGTGTCTATTTCCACCCTTTAATCTGCTCCTCTCCATTAATCACGTAATGTCTTAGTCCTGCTGCTGCGTTTCTTTGATATGCACAGAATTTGATCTAACAAAACCAAAAATCTTTTATACAATGATAGAAAACACGGTTGCATACCAATTCTGCATGCTGATACATTTACGTTCAAGTCCTCCGGTGGCAGTGTTAAAAACTTTAAAAGTTTGGAGCAGTCATGGGCTGGAGGTTAGGGAACCAGCTTTGTGACCAGAAGGTTGCCATTTTCGATCCCCTGAGCTGACAGTTTGGACTGAAGTGCCCTTGAGCAAGGCAACCCCCAACTGCTCCCCGGGTGCCGTGGCTAGGATTGCCCACTGCTCCGGGCAAGTGTGCTCATGGCCCCCTAGTGTGTGTGCATTCACTAATGTGTATGTGGTGTTTAATGCGGAGGGATGGGTTAAATGCGGAGGTGAATTGCCCCGTTGTGGGACTAATAAAGGGTAACTTAAAACTTTAAGGGGCCATTGCCAAATTCTTAGAATGGACTGATGGGAAGATATTCTTATGGATCTTTAAAAAAAAACATCAGCTTCCCTCTATCACACATCTACACATTTGCACACACAATGCGTTAAGCTCACACCAAGGATTTTCAAAGCATAAGATTTGTTATGGAACTCTTTCGGGCACAATAAAAATAAAATAAACAGTGACACAAAACTAAATAAATATTCAGCAAACCTCTCTGTCACACACAAATACACACAGCTATGCATTCTCACCTCCAGCTTGGCAAACTTCTCTGCCTTGTAGCAGGAATATTCAGCATTGATGAGTTTAGTCAGGAGAAACTCATGGAACTCCGGACTCTAGTCAGTGAACACAAAGAAAATTGTTCATTGTTTCATTTTTTGCAAGCTTTCCCCATATAAAGCATAATCCTTAGTGAATCTGTGTTTGAAATGCCTCTCACCTTTCTGAACACAGCTGGGTCTGGGAGAGCAGGTCCAAAGAAAGGCACGTCATCTCTCGCCGTCACTGACACCTGCAATAACGTCATTTAACACAAATATGATGGTTTCCACTGTACAATTTTCTTCTGTTTCTTAGAAAAAAATATCTTGAAACAAAAGAACGAGATTAGGAAGTTGTAGAGGGGGACACTGTCAGAATCTATTCAGAATAAATTCATATTGGGAGGAATACTTTTTTATAGCAAAGATATCTGCATAGCATAAGGAGAGCAGGGCTCAACTTAATGTGGGGTAAAACAGATTTTTTTTTGGTTTTAGACAGGTTTAAGTAGAATGTGTTTCAGCCATCTTCTCATATTCCTGTACCAACATCCCCTGTGCAGACTTGACATGGCAAGGTTAGTGCTACAACTAAGCCACCCAATGTTAACAATAAGAGACGTCCATATACCCCTATATAAATTGAAAACTGTTTTTATTTTCCAAATATTTTTACAGCTTCAACAAAAACGTTTTATAGATGTGATATGAATAAAACATATTTCAATTGTACTGTTTTTATATTAATTAATTTAATTAACTAATTTCCTTGTATGTTTTATACACCTTGTGGTCTAAAATAAAAGTGTCAGTGTTTCATACAGCTAATTAAATTCATTTTTATGCATATATTTTTATGCACTCAGGTTTAGCCAAACATTTTTTTATTTTAAACTATCCCCTCAGATGGTCACAATTAACACCAGTAATGGGATAAACTGTAGAGCTTGTAGTGCTTATAGATGAACTGTTCACAAACAGTAGGTGCTCAAAACAAGCGTAACATTTTCATTTGTAATATAGATGCATGGGTTGCTTGTATAAAGCAATTATTAATCTTGCTTATATATTTAAGTTAATTATATTTGTTTACATTGTGCCCTGCTCACCCCTACATTGCACTGGGATAAAACTGATGCCTGAACGTAAAGTCTTATGTTTCTTAGAAAATTAAAGCCAACTATAAAAAGTGAAGTGATAAATAGTATAGAACTAACTCATGCAATGACCAGATGAATTGGTCACCTTGTAAAGGACGTTGTCTGTGCAGGCATTCTCCACTTGCACCACCACATAAGCATGCAGGAAATTGGATGCGATCATATCTGGTACAAATGGTGTGTTTTCCTCTTGAAACACAATAGCCACAATGTCATTTCCTATATGCCTCTTTCTCTGGAGCTGAAAACAAAACAGAACAGTTTTTTTATTCAATCAGCATATTTAGGAACAGTTAAAGTGTGAAACTAATAAATGAATTTGTTGCTTATCACCTTGAGAGCAGCAAAGTTGTTACTAGGGAATGGCTTTGATTAATTCCTTGCACTGACTGAATACCAACATGAGAAACCTTCTCACTCCTTTCCTGAAGAACTACCAGCTTTGTCAAAATGAACATACACTGTTTGTATAAAAAACGACTAGTTGCTTCTTCATGTATATTAACAGACCTAATAGGTGTTGCGCTTAAATGTGGACTTAAATGTGGGAGCAAGACATTAATGCTTCTATTGACACAATCTACCATTTAATTCCTTTCAGGTCAACTGCACTAGCTAACACTGTGGACCTAATATTTGGCAGTCAAAGCCTCTATTTCCTGAGGGAACATTTCACCACCTGCCACATATTTGACAGCAAGTTGTTTGTCTTTATTATCAAGATGTTGTCAACAGTGAGGCCAATGGCTCATAGAGCAGGTTGCGTAATCAACACTCTAGCTCTAGCATACAGTAGGAACACATATGCAACACTGTGGGTTCCTGGTGTAAGAGCTAGTCAAGAAACAGCTTTTGCACTGAGCCAATGGATTAAAACAAAACAATAAGCCATCTCAGATAAGCCACAGTCTTCTACAGCGCACATCTTTTCAAGTATGTCTTACATGTAAAAGTAAGGCATTAGCCATGCACAGCAGTGACTGCTAAAAACAGCACTCCATGCTTCCTCTATAGGTTAGCTTTGGTCTATGAGGATCTGCAGTGAAGAGAGTGTGTTTGCTAAGTGGTTTGTGTAGCGCAATAGTGACTGTGTCCAAATGCTACGTGATGTTTTCTCTCTGAGTGAAGAAGGTGCTGAAACAGATGGCTTGCAATGCCCTGTTGTTCGGCACTGTGTGATGTGGTTCACTTGCTAATTAACCAGGCATATGGAGGGTCATTGACATGAACAATGACCACGCATCTAAGCAAGCTTTATGCGGTCACTAAATGTCACAATTACACATTAACTTGGGAAAATTGCATAAAGAGCTGCATGACAAATAAAAATAATAATATTACCAGTAGACAACGGGATAATGTTCTTTCAAGCTTAGTGGGTATATTCATTCATCTTTGAGCCTATAATGTCTATAATAGCCTTAATGACATGTTTATAAAGACCTAAGGTTTGCCTCCTCAAATGTTCTGCCAGAAACACCCCCTGAAGGGCCAGGAGAAGCATGGATATTAACCATACCAGCGGGAGCAAGAATATTTCTGAAAATTAGTATGAGCGACCCCAGTGTGAAAACAGGCAGAATCTGACAGATGGTATAATAAGACAGGACACTCCTTACCTGCTGTGAGTCTCCTTCAGTGTAGGGCAGTTTGGTGGACACGTGGAACATAATCTCCTTGTTGTGGAAATTGTGGTATACCGACTCAGTTCCAGTCTGGCCGTGTGTGACATCTAGACCACCTCGAAACCTACCATACAAGGCAAGGCAAACAAAGGTTCTTTAACAAATTCCCATTAACTGCCAACAGAAACCAGAGTTTTGCCAACAATCTACTCATTTCTTTAAACAATTTCTCCACTTCGTTCCTGTCTACCAGCTTTGTTGACACACACACAATGTTGTGTGTGTGTTAGCATTTGCAGATTTCACACAGACACACATGCACAATGGGTGTGTGTGCAATCTGTGAATGTTAATGCACAGTTACTTTATAATAACTAGAATAAACTAGAAATGCAGATTACTGTGGATAATATATAGGACTTTTAGAATGGGATTTATCTTATGATAGGTACCCTTTAAAGTCATGCAGTTCAATCTTCTGCCCCAAAAACTCCAGAAATTCAACAAAGGCTGGACTCTCCACAGTGTTTCCAAAAAGCTCCTCTTCTGACGTCTGAACAAGAAACAAAATGTTCAGAAACAGTACAAATAATACATTTCTCTTCTTATAAACCAATGAAAAAAGATTAATATGTATTACTTGTCCAAACTTTTGGTAGATGACTCCAAACTTAAAGTTGTTGCTTATGACATGTTCATCAAAGGTCACAATGAGTCTAGAGGCCTGTAGGAACACAGTTTAGTTGAGGATCACAATGTGTCTTATACAGAAGCAATCATTAAAGTGTAGATAAAGAGTGAAGATTTGGTTAACCTTTGGGTAGAGGACTGGATAAAATCTGTCTACGTTCACCTCTTCACACACCAGCTGAAAAAATTGAATATTGTTAATTCTAACGTAATTTAACACATGTAAACCTTCTTCACATGATCTGATGATGCGATTTTATGCTGATATCCTACCTTTGCCATCTGCACCACATTGGGGAACTCAGTCAGACAGGAAATGGGTATCACATCATGGTGGGTTTTGTACTTCGACCTAGAAGAGTATTTATTTATTATTTATTATAATTATTACTGTCATTATGTTCATTACATAAACTCAATGTCCACTTTATTAGGTACACCTACCTTGTATTTACACTCTTTGAACATTTTATTAGATCCACTTACCATAAAGGTGTTTCTCTGCATAATTTGTTATCTCACCTTTACCCCATTCATCATGTTCAGACCACCACATGGTGGTGGCATGTTAATGTGTTGTGCTGGTATGAGTGGATCAGACACAGCAGTGCTGCTAGAGTTTTTAAACACCTCAGTGTCACTGCTGGACTGAGAATCCACCGTCTTGTGGGCAGCACCCTTTGACCACTGATGAAGGACTACAGGATGACCAGCACAAACTGTGCTAAAGATATGAGCTATTGTCTGTGACTTTACATCTAAAAGGTGGACCAACAAATTAGGAGTGTCTAATAGAGTGGACAGTGAGTGGACACAGTGTTTAAAAACTCCAGCAGCACTGCTGTATCTGATCTACTCAAACCTACGCAACACACACTAACATACCACCATCACGTTAGTGTCAGTATAGTGTTGAGAATGATCCACCACCCAAATAAAACCTGCTCTGTGGTGGTCCTGTGGGGGTGCTGATCATGATGAATGGGGTAAAGGAGGGATAACAAATTATACAAAGAAACAGATGGACTACAGTCTGTAACTTCAGAACTACAACGTGCACCTACATGGGAAGTGGAGCTGATAAACTGGGTGATAAATGTATATATAAGGCAGGTATACCTAATAAAGTGCTCAGACCCATAATGTTGAGCTGCCTTCTCACAGTGGAACGATGGACAGAAACACCTGTGGATTTTTTTCAGATTTAAAGCAAGAGTGGAGCTTGATTTTCTCCTCTCTCTCAAAAACGAAAGTGCTGTTTATCTGATGGTGTCAGTTATGGTGGTCTACCAGGTCTTGTACAGTTTTTAGAAGTCTGATTTTCTCTGTATCCTTCATTTTTGGAACTTCAGCTTGGGAAACTGAAGATGTTTCCTGTTATTTACCTTTGACTTTCCTCTTCTTTATAAAAGTGAATTATCTTAAATATAACCTTCTCAGAAATACCTTCTGAAAACAAATAAATTGTGGTTGTTTTTACTGGAAATGAAATAAATGAAAGGTATTCTCTGACTTTTGCATGGTACTGTATGTTTTTCCTCAGATCTAGATGGACTCTGAGGCTACTGACCACCCTGAGACCCACGTACATGAGGCAATATGACACTTACATATTGAACTAGACCCTGCAATATCTGACAACAGCTTTTTAGCCGAGTAAGAGAAAGAGAATAGGTGGACAGGAAAGAGAGATGCAGAAAGAAAATAAGGTAATAGGATGAGGTGACAAATTATGGGTGTGAAAGTGTGACAGCAACTGAGATAGAAAAACAGATGAAGAGTGATGAAGAGAGAGAGTGATGAAGAAGAGAGAGAGAACAAGAAAGAGAAAAAATAAAAAGAAAGAATACACTAGAGAGATATAGACTGAGAGGCACACAGGCTCAAAGTGTTAATTAGGGTGATTTAAAGCTGCCAGTGTGACAACTGGGCAGCAAGCAGGTACTACTTTCAATTAACCTAGTGTGCTTTGTGCAGAGACTAAATGCAGATAAAAGAGGTCCTTTACCATGCTATAAGGCTCCCTCTACTATGAGCAGGCATTCCTCCCTAGGCCTATGGTACTTACTACCACAGAACTTCATTAAAATTCCTCTTTTGTTCAAAGCAAAACTGAAGCTGTGTTAATTATTACCATAAAGATCTCCACAGAACACCCAACTTCAATTCTGTTGCTATCAGATACAAAGTATGATGAAGGCTGCTATTTTTAAAAACTAACTGAACAGCACTCAGAATAATGGGGGGAAACAGGAGCAGAAAACTGAGATATAGGAGAGAAGCTGAAGAAGCAGAGAAGGCGCGCATGGTGAGAAAAGGCAAAAGTATTCATATGAAAGAGTGCAGTACAAAAGAAGAGGGATCTGAAAGGAGATAGAGGGAGGCGGATGAGTCACAGAAGAATGAAGTGAAAAACAGATCACTGTGGCGGAGGGAAAGTGCAAATGAGCAGAGATGTGTGGGGAAAAGAGCAATGCGAGGGGTTCTGATGGCGAGAGCCGAGGATATGATTGTTTATCTGTGTCTGTGTGAGCTTCACCTAAGCAGTAGACGGAGATGCTCTTGGTCCCCAATCACGTCATACTTCACAGAGAAGACGAGGTGGCCCAGTGCAGTGTCCACAGAGTAATAATTAAAGTGCTCCTGTAGGGAGAGATGCACAAACACATGCTCAAACCTCCAGCCTCTTGAACAGACATTCCCTCCCTTTATCTAGTCTGGTTTCCTCAGCTCTGTTTACAAAGGTTCTGCTACTCAGTGGGAAACTGGCTGCTGATCCAGCTCTAACCTCATGAAATGAAAATGTGACACATGTCTGTCACATAATGTTTGTTTTTGCTGTTACTTTGTGATGTTAAATGCAAGTTTCAAGAGAAAACAATACATTTATGTTACATCACTGGTAAGCAGAGGGAAAACTTTTTGAACTGCCACATCTTTTTAGTGATAAAAAACACTCCTCTCTTGAAATGACACAGCCAATGAAATGATGCACTTCTAGGCTAAGTAGAAGATTCGGTCTGTCACAGTTACTACATAATTGCCTGACTGTAATCATTTGAGCTGGAAAACTTTTTTAAAATGTTAAAAAAGAAAGCAGAAAAACACATTTATAAAGACACAACATGGGTCTTACAAAAACAACACAAGTTCAAACTGACTAGTGCTATAACACCTTTAGAGGGCAGCAGTGAGTATTGTTTCTTTATTTGAAGCTAGTAAGTAAGATAGCTATCAGCCAATTTGGGCACTTTCTGTTTGTACTTTGTAGCTGATTGTAGTTGTACAACAACAACAAAATTAAACCCAATTATTTGTAGGGCAATTAATACTCAGCTAAAATTTCAGGACTGTGACAGACCTATAGACGATACATAAACTTATATTTCAATTAGTTGCAAATGAAAAATGTACAGCAGTTGAAAATGCTTTTCCCTCAACATACAATCTCAGCTGACAGACACAAACTAAATATGAAGTAAAATCTGAGATGCTCAGTATAATGCTTAGTTAATGTAGTTACAGTCTTCAGTGTTTTCAAGTACCAATTCAGATCATACAGTGTCACTAAAAGGTTTAGACACACCTACTCAAACAATGATTTTCCTTATGTTTACTGTTTTCATATTTTATAATAATACTGAAGCCATTCAACATATTTTCCCCAAGTTGTGTACAACCAATTAGCGTTGGCCCTATCAACAGGGGAGACTGCAAGTTAAATCCCAGCTGATGCCACAGCAATCTGTGGCTGGGAGCCCAAGACAGTATAACTGGCCTCTCTCTCTCTTTGGGTGGGTAAGATGGTCCTTCCTCTCCCATCTTCATTCAGTGCAATGCTAGCCAACGTATACATCTGTTAACTAACACAGCAGAATTAGTGTGCTGAGCAGTCCAATGACACTGTGTTAGCAGCAGTCTGAAAGATGCTGTGGCACTTCAAATGTTAGCAAGCATGTGCTAGCCCTAGACCACCCAGCTTGGTAGCATCGCGTGATGGGGAACGTAACTAGTAGAATTGTACATGATTAAATTGGTGAGTAAACTGGCCAAAAATCCATAAACAATAACAATGAAAGAAGATTCACATATGCTGAGCATATGTTGACTGCTGCAAACTACCTGTTGGGTGCATTTCAGAGCAAATTTTTTCAAGAAAAAACTATTGATATTTGTTTTATATTTATACTATTTATACTTTAGCATACACTTTTCACATCAGGAATATAAAAACAGAAATTCAATGGGGATGGGTCCAAACTTTCAATTGGGTGTGTATGTATGGAAAATAGCCCTCAAAATATTGGTTTTACTTAATGGATACAAATGTAAGCATCTTAGCATCTTAGCCCAGCATATTCAAAGCACAAGTTTCTGATCACACCTTGCCCAGGAAGTGTCTCCTGTAGATCTTCGCTGTGCTGTTAGTCTCCAGTTTAACCTCCGATGCTGGGCAGGGGGGCGGCTCCTCTGGAGCAGGGGCAGGACCAAGCTCATGATTGGTACCCTCAATCCAGTAACCACCAAACTGGGGCAGCAGTATCAGGGGGAAGGGAGCTTTACGACCCAGCACCTGTCAATTAAAAAGTGGTAATTACAATGAGTGAATCCATTAAAATGCCATTATCTTGGGGATTAACCCTGTTTAACTCAGACCATTTATCACAGGAAATAAAAAAAGCAAGTTATGAATTTGGATAAATTATTTCTCACTTATAGATAATTAAAACAAGATGAATAATTCTGTTGAAAGTGTGATTTTCAAACTTTCAATTAATGAAACGTTTGTAAGTAGACAAGGAGATATTTTATTATGATTTGAGTTTGATGAAATGTATTTTAATGGTGGTGTTCCTTTACAAATAGACAATAGTCCAGTGCAGACCATGTATGCAAGTAGAATATACATTAACATTAAAAAGTTTGGAATCAGTATGTTTTTTATAAAATAAAACAAATTACAGATAAATGTGAGAAATTATTATACTAAGATGTTACTAACTTCATACATTTCAACTGATTAATAGGAAAAACATGCAAAAAAGAGCATTTAAATGTCCAGAATGATAAACAGAGCTGTAGCTGTTTCCTTAATGACTGAAACTGTAGGCAGATAACTTATAAAGAAATGTCTACAAATAAATAAATATATTAATTAGCATTTAATAACATTTTGCTGCTCCTAAAAAAATGAAATATTGAATAAAACATCGTAAAATACCTTCAGTGATCTAGCTTATAGTATTTCAATCTACACTGTAAAAATAAAATTACTGCAATTATTAATATGACACTTTTGAAAATATGAATACTAGTAAAATAGTGTAAATCAACTGTAAATGAAATTTATTACATAACTAAATATAGAAATTAAGTTTAAATCATTATGTAATGTAAACAGAAGACAAAGCAAAATGCCAGCTCTAGACTTCTTAACATTAAACAGTGTGAATATGACATGCTTTTTTGTGTTATTTACCTCATGAACACTTGGATAGGGAATATAGTCTTCCTCTGTCTGAAGAATAAAAAATATCATAAAAATGGAATTCCCAGTTACTGTAGTATGTGCCAAAAACAAAAACAGTGTACAGAAAAATGAAATAAACTGTTTAAATCCAGGACTCACACAGTGACATTTCATACAAGAGCCTGACTGTGTACAAAACCAACAGTGCCTAGCCTCAGCTTTACATGTTTTACACTCCGCAGGGCTGAGCTTGTTGGTGTAAGATGCATGTGAAGCTGCTTTACAGAACAATAAAGTGAGTGTACCATCAAGAGCGCAGTCAGTCAGAACCACGCAATTTAACTGTGAAGGCTGGAAACACAAGACACGTGCCTGTACAAACACTGCCTGAGGTTATAAACCACTACGATTTAAAAGCTTCTGACTGCGCACACCAGCTCATTCCTCAGGAGAAGTGGTGACACTACATGAATGTGCCTTTGTGTATGTACATGTGTGTGTGTGTGTGTGTGTGTGTGTGTATACTGACTTACTTTGAGGGGAGGTGGAAGCGTGCATCTCTGCTCATCCATCCTGCTGTTCTGCAGAGCATAAAACATGCAGCAATTACAGTGAGTCTTCACAGCCATTATTAAGGATACACACTCAACCAAACAGTCCAAGAACCATGAAACAAGACTACAAAAGCACTTTCTACTGACATTAAAAGAAATGTATGCAATGTATTTTGTATTGTTTTCATCTACAAAACCGTATATTTTAAATATAAGCTATATTAAACATAGGCACAGAATGAGATCAACACAGATCATAATAGAGTCATTACAGAGTAATACAAACAGCCCATCAAAAGTTTGGGGTCAGGGATAGGGTTACGCTTACAAATCTGGAATCATTCGTCATATTAATAATAGTTTACAGTGAGGGTTGAAACACTATATACTAGATATCAGGAAGCATTTTAAAATGTTTTTCAATATTTACTGAAGTAAGTGAATATAATGTTACTATTATCCATTTATGGAAATTTCTTCATAAATTCTTTGCCTAAAGATTTAATCACCTTTTAAATATGAAGCATTCTGGATATGAATTTATCGTAACTTTATTCTCAATGTTTTACAGCTCTCTCAGTGATTGCAGAGTTGGTGTCTTATTTTTTACAGCTTCCTACTATTTATCTACTATTTATATGAAACCTATAAAATTGTAGTCTCATGATAAAATCTAGCAATTACATGTAATATAATAATATTAATAAAACTAATTACAATATAAAACTGTTTACAACAATTGATGAAAGCGAAACCTAGAGAACTAGGCCAAAGCCCACAACTTTTACCTCCTTGTTGTGATGTCAGCACCCATCAGCACTCAATATGTTTCAATATGTGCTTTTGACAAAAGCATTTTTAGGAAAAACCTGATCTTCACCAAGGAAGACTCTGATCAACATATGCAGAGCCAAAGAACATGAACTAGTTATTTTAACTTGCCTTTTTTGAAAGTTTACATTAATCATAAAATCTCAAAAAAGGCAAAACATCCTCAAACTTTTGATGGGCAGCATAAATATAGTATAGTACAGAGGCGTTAGCATAAGCTGTACATCAGCAGGCTGTTACAAAGAAACATTGCATCACGATATTGTGAAAGACACAGTAGAAGGACACGGAGTGACTGAAGAAATTCAGGAGGGTGTCACCAAGAAGCCACGACATGGACACAGGAAAGACTAAGAAGGAGCAGCAGCATGTTCTCACTCTGTTTTTGTCAGAGCCGTGGACTAAGAACAGTCTCTGCTTACCTGCATCCGCTCAATCATTGCAAATAAATCTGAAGTCTGAGACCGGGAGAGAGAGAGAGAGAGAGAGAGAGAGAGAGAGAGAGAGAGAGAGAGAGAGAGAGAGAGAGAGAGAGAGAGAGAGAGAGAGAGAGAGAGAGAGAGAGAAGTTGTACAAAAGTCTTGTTAGATTTTGAATAATTCTGAGTAAACATTACAACTAGCGCAACTTGGAGGAGGATGCTGTAGTAATTGGACATCACTGATATTGATTATCATTACATAAAACCGTATGCAAAAGTTTGAATACCCCTGGTTAAATGACAAGACGTCTTCTACAGAGAAGAAACCTAGCAATGGCAATAACTTATCAAATTTTACTGCACAGTTGCTATTTATTTGTTGAGTTAATATTGGGAAAAATAAAACATAAAATGTAAACTGTGACAGGCCATGTTTCATGCTTTATTGTTTTTTTCCAATATGTTAAATTTAGCAAATAAAGAGTAATTGTGCATTAAAAAGTGTAGGAGTGTGTTCTCTGTAAAGGCACTGTATGAAACTTATGTAACGACTGTATGACAATGAAAAACCTTATCTTCAATCTCATTTAATGTGTTCTATTTGGAGTAATTTCTGTTAGTCCATTCATTATGAAATGTTCACAGTGTAAAGACTAGCCAGTGTTCTTGAACGGTACAAAGTAATAAAAAACTGACATTACCAGTTGAACTATTTAACTCTCTTCTGTCTCTCTGCAGAGAGCTCACAGCTTTCTTTCACACTTATCCATCTAGTGTCTAGAACAGCATAGCTTCATAAATGTATCAAGGCTATTTCTTAAGATTTACCAGAGAAGTGAAATACCATAGAGAGAATCAGAGGCTCAGTCTAGAAATTCTCATACAGAGAAATAATGCTACGTTGTTCCTATATGCTAGGCTATCTGCTATTATGTAATAGTATGTTACATCCTGCTTTGCACAATTCTACAGATTCTCAGTAAAGTGTACTGTCTGTACCCTGTTTTGTATTTATTGAAGGTCTTTCATACTTATTGCACTGTATTATCTGCACTGTGTATATTGTATCGTATTGCACTTTGTGTTCCTATGTTGCACTGTAGTCCTGGAGGAATGTTGTTTCCTTTCACTGTGTACTTGTATATAGCTAAAATGACAATAAAGCCTCTTGAACTTGAACTAATGTCATAAAATTAACCATTTTCTAACAGGTTATTTCTGTATGTTGTTCCGAACATCCTTCTTTGTCGTTCTGAGAACACTGGCTCAGTTTTAATCATCAATGAGCCATCCAGCAGTCAGTCAGTCACAGCTCTGCACTCAAACATGCATGCATCCTCTCCCTCCTTCACACCATTCACCCTTATACAGGATGAGTAGTGTGAAATAGTGCCATTTTACATGCCACTGAGCAGCTGGGCATATGGATGATGGGCACTCGAGCACTTCAGCTGCTACTGACCACACATATGGAGCATAACGGGCTCAGTAATATGGAAACGATCGTCACTGAGCATTCCTGGCACGCTTCTGTAAACACATAAAAATGTACAGTGGACTTTCCCTGCTCACGTTACCATTCCACTTATTGTAAATTCCCTAAACACTGAAGATCCCAGCTCAAACAGTGACAAAAAGTGAAACTGTAAATCCAGCATGCTTCTCCTTATGATGGGCTGAATCAGCTAACACAGTGGCGCACACACACACACACCCCCCCACACAATGACTCACAATGGAGTTGTGTGCTAATACACACACTTACAATTAATTTTGCAAAATGATTTTAAGAATCATTCATGAGACTGACGAAATCGCTGTTCTGACGTTTCACAAGACAAAAGGGAAGCCTATTACTTAACTGTGCTATCTGACACATGCATTATCTACTTACACAACTCACACGCACACCCAGCAGTGGTACTGATATACTGTGATCTGTATTACTAAAAGCCACAACTATGCTGAAAGTGTGATCACTGAAGGTCACTTGTTCCAGACCAATCAGTAAAAGCCATTTAGGCAACTGCAAATCAATCTCGCCCCAAGCATTCGTTAAGAGCCACAGATAAACACACATTCTCTCTCTTTCCATACACACACTATAAATAAAGTGAGTTCCACTCACGTCACTGTGTCGCCTGCGCTGGCGAACTGCATTGAGAGCAGGATTGCGGTACACGTACGATCTCCTAGCCATGTTGAGAAGTCAGGCTAACGTCCACACGAGGAAAAGACCACCGCACCAATACCGAACCACCTGTGCGCCTGTCTCTTCCGTACCCTCTGAGTCGGCCGCGCTTATGAGAAGCAGCAGTGACAGAGCGGATCTGAAGAGTGACAGCGATCGCTTCCTCAAACTGCAGCCACTTCCTTAAAATTAGTTTCTGGCGCCATGCTAGACGGTCACTCACAAAACCAAAAACATCCAACAGGTTGATCAATGTTTGTCTAATATGTATTCAAAAATAGGGCTGTAAATCTCAAATTCGATTCGACTACAATTCTTCAGGACAAAAATTAAACGCGTCATGAAATCTCTAATTAGATTGGATTTAATTATGTTGGTGTGATTCACAATTGTTTTTAAAACTGTACACTGAGTACACAAACATGACTGGAGGATCTCTTTGTACGGTAGTTGAAAATACACAGAAAAGACTTTTTTTATTTCAGTATTTGCCTGAAGACAGTCTAAGACTTTTTAAAGAGTTGCATTTCAAAATGCTGTAAATCTATTTGTAACAATTTTGGATGTAATAAGTTTTTAGAAAGAATAACAGCTGATGTATAATAGGAAACACATTTTTTATTTCCCTAATAAAAATGGTATTAATCATAATATACCACTGATATTTCTTGATTGTTTAAAGTCCTCTCCCAACAACACATATAATGAAAAAAAATTCTTGAAAATGGTCTATAATGTGTTTTGGAATGAAAATCTTCATTTTATACTGGCCTATATACTAGCCAAAAAAATAAAATCTTCTTTAATGAGTATGATTAATCAATTCTAACATTCCAAATTCAAAGCAGTTTAATCGCCACCTTTTATCAAAGCACTGTAACCCTAACATTAACCCTTTAAATGGCCAGGGCCCACCGGCAAAGTTTTATTACATACCTCTATAACCTAAGCACAGCTCAGCCAGTTTGCACTGAAGTTCCTGTAGTTACTGAATAATAAACCTTCGTATGTAATTAGCCTGGGATTTTAAGGGGTTAACTGGGTTACGTGAAGAACATCCAAAACATTTTCAAATTATTCTAAAGTAAACACAACTATTTCTTCTTTCTGAGTTCATGAAACTGGCAACTTTTGATTTAGTACAGAACGATTTGCAGTTTTAAAACTGTCAGTGACAGATTTTCTCATGATATGAAGTCATATTAGTACACAAAAAAGCCAGCAGGAAGCTACAATCTTTGTGGTTTCTCAGTTTCTATTAATAAGCCCTAACTTTCTTATTTTTCAACTGTTATCTAAAAATTAATTAAAGTTAACTTTGGGTTATAACATGTTATCCTCATGCTAAAGCTTAGGTTTGGATGCATTTTACTGGTATGTAATATATTAGCAATGATGGTTTTCTGTTTTGCAGTTTTCCAGTCCAGTCTGTATTCCTTATACAGAGGTATATCAGTTTCCAGTCTCTGATCAGCTTCTGACTAGACTGGCACAAGTACACAAAACCAATGTGATCCTCTTGATACGGGTATATTGTACAAATTGTTTTGTAGCCAGTTCTTTATTACCTATTGAGTAGTCCATTAGTTGCTCTTAAGTGCACTCTTATCAGCTATGTGTTTGCAGCGATGCACAGAAATGCATGCAGCTTAAATGTTTTAACAGCTGTATGTTTATTCATATTGTACTGTCATTCTCCAAAGTTTTGACAAAATACATGTTCTACAGACGTGACAATATGTATACTTCACCTACACATCCATTTCTACACATTTTAATGCCTTCCTCAATAATTAAAGTAGTATACAGTTAACCCTAAAACAGTAAGTTCTATAAACTTTTGACTTGTAGTAATATGAACTTAAAATATTAAGGCAACTGACTGTTATCTTCATTATTTTGAGTTCCACTAACTAAGGCAGGTTTACTGTGGGCGTTTTCACACTCCTACTGGGCAGGCAGATACGTATAGGAATGGATAAAATATACTATTGCTAACGTTTGTGTTTTGCCAAAAAATGCTATAGAAACATAGCGATTTCTATGATTTGAAACATGTCCCAGATTTGTTAGGATTTTATGGGATATATGCTTGTTTGTAATATTCCCTGCCTTTTTTCCACACTTTAACGCTTACTGCTCATTAGGAGGATAGTACATTACCAGCGTCAACGTGCTCAGCCTTGGCAAGTCTGTTGTTTGTATGAGGGCACATAAAGATGTGTACCTGTGTTTAGACAAATGTAGTAGACAAATGTATATCCCAAAGTGTTCTGTTTCTTCGAAAACAGAGCACAAAGCCAAAAAGCAAGACGACAAAGACAAACGTAAATCAATTTGTATTATCAGTGACACCCAGAGCATCAGTGGATAAAGTCTTACACAAGTGCAGCATGATAATGCAACCACCCATTACCCAACAGGGAGCTCTGGAGAGGCTACAGAATCTTACACTGACAACACGGGTAACGAAAAGGTCACAGAAGAGATTAAGATAAGAAAGTAAAAATAAGAGGCACGCCAATAGACATGAATAAAATTGCAAGCTAGACACAAAGTAGAACATTGAGATTTCGAGACTGAAATTAAAATGAGCAAGTTTGACAGCATGAGTGAAATCAGCACATTAAAACGAGGTATATCACCATGCATTTAGTCATGGGAAGTCTCTTTCTTTCTAACAAAAATTCCACTTGCCGGAAAGTTACATCCTTTAAATATGGCATTATGGCTTTTAAATTATACTAAAACCCATATTGTCTTCAGAACACTGTGACACACACGTTTTATAGACTCCATGGAGACAGTAAAACCTATTTCCTCCTGCTACTAATGCTGGGAGCAGACCGTATGGTATAATTACAATGGAAATGGCGCGATTTTCATAATATTCAATTTCATAATGAGCGCTGACCAAATCTAGATTATTGTCATCTACAATTCCACTTTTAAATGCATACTTGAAATGTATGTCTTGTATCTTTCAACTACCAGACTGGCTACCACTGCCACTTCAGTTTAGTTGATGAAATAATTAAAATAGGCTACTCCCCAGTAATGGGGTGCTGTGCAGCAGAAAACTGCCTTTAATCAAACAGCTTCCACTGTGCTTCTGAGTGACTGAAACTTAATGGTTTACTTCAGAGCAGGTCCACTTGTAGCTTTGTCACTTTTATTTGCTGCAAGCCTAAAATGAACTTCATAAATCTGTTGTCACTAATGAACTATTATATCTCTAGTTCTTGTTTCTGTTCAAGCTAGCCCTGAGCTATTTAAAAAAAATACTATGACTACGAACTAGGCGTTGCATACAATAGTCGACTACACTCTCAAAAAAGATGGTTCTCAAAGGGTTTTTAGTAAAGACAACGGCTCTAAATAGAACCATGAACACTTGCATAGAACCAAGAACCATTTGCATGCTTACAAGGTTCTTTGCAACGCTAAATGGTTCTTCAGATGGATAGAGAATGTGTTACATATGGTTCAAATTAAAACAGCAGCATCGCCTGAAGCTGGCCGAGCACACAGAAAGCTAGTCTCCATGCCAGGCTAATGGCTAACAGCCAACCCCAAGAGACAGGTTTTTCTTTCCTATCTTTTTCCCCTCATTAATTCATTAGCTCATTACTCAATCTGATGTCTGCTCCTTTGACAATAAACTGCACTAACTTACCTCAGGCTGCAGCTCACTACACGAGAGGTGAGGGAATCAGCATGTTTTGTGTTGTTTGTATGTCGTGTTGTCTGTATTTATTTGAATACTTGTATAACAGTATTTACAAAACTAATTCCTTAGGAAGAACTGGTATATCGCCCACCACTAGTGACTAGGCCTGTATCTCTGGAAGGGTTATAGATGAGGAGAAATTTGATTAGTAAAAATGAACAGTCACGTAACCCCTACTCTGAACATATCTGTGTATATAGCCAACACTACCCATCACTACTGAAAATCTTAAATATACATTACAACTACACATTTGATCTTGAATACACTGTTGTGCAATACATTGCATTTGCCAGTATGCTGGTACTGGTGTCATACAATAATATTGATTTTCAGTGAATTATTATTATATTATTGGAAACATTATATTCCAAAAAGTAACACTGTCACTGTTGCCACACTGGTAGAAGTACACTATGTTCCTTAGGTATCATTTCAGGAGCAGAAAACAGAACACAACAGTCCAATCGGAACAGCCTGTATTCAGTTTGTAGGATATTCCTTTAGCATGAAGTACCAGTACTCAGTACTGGGTTTATTAACTATTAACTTTGTTCATTCTAACTAAATATCATCTGATATCATGACATACATGAAAAATATTTGAATACTAACTTCTATCGATATTGCCCAGCACTAGTTTAGCATCACAGCTCAGCACCATTTGTGATGATTATGTCTTCTAATAAGCTCCAATAGTAATCCCACATGTCCCATAAGGATGCTACCATCCTGTCATTTTCCAGGGCCATTTACAATGCTGTGAAGACTTCATAATAATTCTGTGACAGCTCCAAATGTGCAGTCCTCTGAGTCCCTAGCAGCATCAGTGTTAATGGCTCCAAAGGATGGGGAGGCACTGATGGAGGGATAAAGGAGTACTGGTGAGTTAATGGAGGAGATGAGGTCTCATAGGACAGTATGGGAACAAAAGACCTGTCTGCAGCTTAGGAAACATGATGAACACAGTCTTACTCACCACCGCCGCATTAACAGCCAAAACTAAAACGAAGAGAGCTCTTTTATGTGGACAAAAAAAACCAAAAGTGAAATATCCAGGGCTTACACCTTAAGTCCAGTTATGCTAGCCTAGTATGGATTTCCTGGTAATCTTATTATCTGGGCAAACAAAATTATAGCAATGGAAAAAGCCTTTCCAATTGGGGAAGGTGAGTGTAAGTCAGCTGATCCAACTCAGTCATTTCCTTCCAGCAAGTCAAATGACCACATACACATGATGAGACTGATATTTTATATTTATAGTTTGGAATCACCATTCACACAGTTGCTGCACACACATTTACAAAATTATGCTAATGTGATGCCAGTCCTGTGCAACCTGAAGCTACACTACGTTTTGGGGATTTGATGGAAATGTGTAATTGCAGGACGCTGATAGTATTCAAAGAAAACTCAGCTGAAACTTGATGAAGGATGTGTCTTCAGAGGATGTAAGCGAATTATATTTTATTTCTTTCTTTTTTGAGCCTGTGCATGTGACATTAATATGACATTAACGTTAATAATATACGTATGATGTGGTCCAAAAATCCAACCTGACACCACTGATTTTTAAATGACTATTTCAGGCTTAACAGGGCAACTCACAGCAGTGCATGCACACCATGTTTTAGTCTGTTTTTTCCCACCTCCCTCAGTAATGCTACTTCAATTTTAAATAAAAACTTACATAGCGCAGCTTTAAAAGAATAAACAAAAAAGGTTCAGATGGGGCAACATGCATACATTAATAACTATGTTATTACTGAACAAAATACCAGAAATAATTCCATGACAAATTATTCTAACCTTTTGAATACTACTGAATGTGCACATGGTATTTCCTGCTTGCTACCGCAGTGGTTGCCCTCACCTTTACCACTAAATTGTAGCAAATCGAAACAGCCACTGCAGAACTCCCAATAGCTGGGGCCTGCCAAGATTAGTACACGCCTACAAGGTGACACCACTCCTCTAACAGGAAAGAGTAATGTAAAAGATTAAAGGGATGGGAGGACAGATGAAGTAATGACAATATTTTCACAGAGAGGAGGAAAAGAAATTGCAGAGATGAACAGACACGCAGAGACAGAAATAAGTATCAAAATGAATAGAAAAAAAGACATGTAACTGTAGTATTACAGCTGCTGCAGAGCCAGGAGGTGAAATCAGTGAGGGCGAGACTAAAAGCCCATCAAATCAGTGGGGTTACTGTTGTGATGAATGTGTCGATGCAAAGATGAACAAGGTGAACAGCATGAACGACAGCCAAACAGCCGAAAGCACAGAAATGAGTGTCAGGAAGAGGCTGCAAAGGATAAAAGAAGGCAGAAATAAGATTATATGTCCTACCTTTAAAAGCCCAGGAGCAAGGGACAGGGGTAGTGAGGGGCCCAGGAGAGGAGGCTCTAATGCATCAGAAATTCGGGGGATTCTGCCATCATGTTTCCTGTGGATGAGCAAACAAACATGGCTTCAGCACAAAAATCACATTTCGTAACCTCAGTCATTCTGTCCAACTCGAGTATGTATGAGCATGTGTGATTGTATTTTTTCCCACATAGTTTAAGAAAAAAATAATATGCACATCAGTACAAACTTCAGGCTTTCATAGAGGCTCCTAATAAGCAGCTGGGTGGAAGAATAAGCCCTCTGTTTTCTTGCTCTCCTTTGTTTGGTTCGTGCTGTCAGGATAGTCTATTATTAGCTGAGGCCTGAATTCAGAGGTTCAGTCCAAATACATTATTTCACATAGCGCTGTCTTGCTGCAGTAAGCTTAGCCTAGCTGTTAGCAGCCAATCTTTAATCAATTAAAGCTCCTCTCACATTCAGCTCCATGTAATGAGATTCACCATGGCTAGCAAATGTGGGCAGATTTCACAATCCGTGCAGGCAAATAAATGAGAGCAAATACTGAAGTCAGCTAAGGGTAAATATTTGATGTGTCAAATCAATTAACATGTGACAAATTAAACCAAATGACTTGGTACGACTGTGTTACACACATTCCAGCTGCAAATGAAACATTGGCAAGTTTCTGAACTGGCATGGTGCGCACACTGGGGAGTGCATGAGTCGATCTTTGCTTTCTGCTTAGATCTATAAAGGATCACTACTAACATCAAGTGAGTGACCTAACCTTCTCTACACCATAGTGCCAACTGGCTAAAACCCATCAAGCCTGTGAACACACAGCAATGTCAATACAATACTGAGAGCAAGGAAATGCATTTAACAATAAACAAAGCATGATGTCATTTTATATTAATGATTTCTCTCTAGTAGTTCATAGAAACAAGTGGAGAAATTCTGTGAAAAGTGCAGATTCTAAACTTTCAATCCATATCACATTTGTGTTTGCAACAAGAACAGGAGATACGATTTGAATGTGATCAATAGTTATTGTTGTACATACAGTCAAAACAGGCTAAGTGGAAAAAACCTGGAAGACTTAAACCTGTCAATACAGAATGAGTCATATTATTCTGCAATTCTATGAATTATTCAGTAGATAATATGAAGCTAACATGTGACTGCCTTCATTACTGTGATGACGGACTTTCTAGCCGTCTGTAAAACTGTAAGATCAAAATGCCCCAACTACCAGCTATAACACTGGGTATGTTCTGTTCTTTGAATTCACTTTCAGTTCCCCACTGTTAGTAACTTCCTAACTAAAAACAATCAGCATAAGAAAAGGATATTTACTATCAGTGGGCCTGTTTCCACTATGCATTAACATGATCATGTTTGGATTCAATTGACCTGCATGGAATGCCAGATTACAATTGGATCACTCAAACCACTTTCGGAGGTGATCAGAGACGGCTCTTGACCACATTTAACTCACGTGTAAACAGAATGCTTTTTCTTTATTAGCATACAATTATGTGAGCGGAAATCTATTGATGGCGCGCTGACTAGTAGGTGAAAGAATACATAATGAGATGAAAGATGGAGGATACTCTGCATTCCTTCGCATTCAAGGCTCAAGTTAGCCACAAACCAAGAGCCTCCGTGCACTCCAGGCTGATAAAGGTGTTCAGGCCAAGCTTATCCACAAGTAACGGGGAAAAGAGCAAACAAACGGAAAATAAAAATGAGGCATGTGTTGACACGCTGTTTGTACTTTTAAGGGAGAAGTACAATTGGATCTCATTTGGTCACACTGGGGATGTATTTTAGTGAAAAGTGTAAACGGAAACTGGCCAGATTTTATCCAGATACAATCCGGACATGAAACACATCTAAATATAAGACGTAAACAGACCCAATGTTTCTTTTTGTTGACTGGGGCCATATTATAAAAACTTCTCAACTCTGAAATCTTATCTGTTTAGTCACCATGACAACTTCAACTGAATTTAGGACAGAAGCTATTACAGAACAACAGTTCTTAAGCTGATAATCTTACCCTAACTACATATAAGAAATTACAGAATAACAGTATTGCAGAAACATCCCAACTAGAGAAAATTTCCTAAATTCTGTCCTAATTTTAAGGCATCTCCAGAGGTGTCTTAACTCCCGTTTTAACCGTCTGTTTCTATAGCTTTATGCAGTGACAGGCAGCATACTGTTCACTATAACTAGCATAATGACATTACATTTATCTACATAACAGTCAAAACGGTGCTTTGACTTGTGAGGGTTTTTTCTAACAGCGTTTAAAAAAAAAACAGACGCTGCAGACAAGACCTTCACGTAGTTTAAGATTTCCTAACTTGAGATAATACGCTGTGTGATGATGTGGTTTTGTTTCACTATACATAATTAGAATGAATGTGAATCAAAATAAATACAGCAAGAACAAGAATACAGAGAATACAATTTTATTTTTCATATACAAAAAGTAGGAGATATCATAAGAGCTAGTTAGAAGAACGTCTTGGTTCTGGACTTCATCTCGAAGCCTCCAGCCATCAAATGGATTTATCAAATTCCATCACCAGCACACTTGATTTAAGCTAATGAAGATTTAGCTTAGCTAACCAGGTATTTGATGATAACTACAAATAACACTGGGCTACCTTAAGAAAAGGAAATGGTTAACAAAAATACTAATGCTACTTATTCTATTACTATTTTTGGTATTTATTGTAATGTCTGGTGCCTAAACATTTTGCACAGTAGTGTATATATATTGGAAATGAATAAGGGTAGACCCAGAACTGGAAAACATTCACAATATATGATTTGTATCACAATAGTTCATTTTCATGAGATTTGTAAAAAGTTAGATCGGACGAAATGCTCCAAAAAAAAAGAGAATCACGTTTTAAAAAGGCAATGAAAAATGTAGTACAATGATTAGCTGTTTAATTCAACATTTGCACAAATATCCTGGAACAGGATGAAAAATCAAACTGGTGATACTAAATTACTGAAATAGGACAATGGCACAACTGCTCAGCAGATTACGATGCAGTTATTATACATGCTTGTTATTGTTTATGTACTCTCTATAATTAGTCTAAGTGTGTTTTTTAGGGTTTATACAGTTGTTCAGTGTTCCTGATGATACCACCACTACACACAGAAAAACATATAGTGATGTAATTCATCACCACAACGATAGAACATTGTCATATTACCAGCCCTTGTTTGCAATAGCACAGTGACCATACCAACATATACACCATACACAGACAAAACATATAAATCCTCTGATCTCGAATAAAAACCCACTGAAGCTCACCCACTCTCACTCAGAGGACACTCAAAAAGCTTACACATACAGTACAGGAGCAGAAGTTTAACAACAATTAAAGGCTTCATGCTGGAACATTTTTCCTACAAACATTCATATTGTTCTCAACTTATCTAAAGAAGGTGGAAAACATGTTTGCAAGCACAGAGTCACAGAGTCCTTCATGAAACTGAGAACAAGCAAAGTGTTAGAATGAATCAGCAGTGAACCACCTGAGACGGACTCGGAGCTGGAACAGTGTGTGCAAAATCACTGTCCCATTCACAACATTATCAAACTATACTGTAGCTCCAGAGAAGTAAAGATCAAGATGCGGTAAGGCTGGGCATTTTTGATAAAATTCAATATCATGATATTTCCCAAATATATCATGGTATCAGATGATACTTTAGTCAGCATTAAAAAAGTTAATGAGGTCATGCTTCCAAGGTGCTGCTACACTGGGAACTACATTGTATGTTAATGCTAAAAAAAGGTCTGATACATCTTGTTTTGAATGGACTGTTTTGTTCTGTTCTGCATCTCTTAAAATTACACCTACTGTCTATTGAAACTTTATGGATTTAAAAATGTTTTCAATGTTTTAAAATGTTCCTTCAAAACAGAATTAACTTTACCAAACTGAAACCCCAACCCTAACCCTAACCCAGTGATACAATGAGAAACCTCGGCTTTGTCCAGTTTAAGTAGTTTAAATCTGGTGACAGAGAAGTTTAGGTTCTGCATGCAAGTTCACATTAGCCATAAATGTAAAATGTATCAGTATGTGGAATTGGAGCCTTCTGTGTGCTACTGTGTGCTATCAGATACCTATCAGATATGTCACTAAAAATTAGGTGTACACAGATATGGTAATTGTGGGGAAATGTTGATATCCTTTATGTTTTAATGTACATATCTGCAAATGCTAAAGCATAAACATTCATATGTAGAAATTAATTATAATTCATTTTAATTCAACTCCATTAATGCACCTGCACAGAAATATAACATTTATTTCTACACTATGTAGAAATTGGAGGTCTTAACTTAAAAAAGCCAGTTACTGGGCTACCTTAAAGTTCATATGGTAAGTTGACAGGGCATAAAACACAGATTCTTGTTCTGTTAACTTACTGTTTTAAGTTCAATCAAATTAAGATTTTAAGGCAGTAAAATGAATAAAATACAGACTTTTTTGCATAGCATCGCCTAAATGTTCTGCTCCTCTGCAGTACAGTCTAAACATCTTTCCTATGCAATATTTTTATAATCAAATATCTGCCGATATTTCATTGTTTATTCGTACCAAAAATAGTGCTAAAACTGAAAAGCAATATAACATCAATAACATCAGTATGTCAACATCAGAGTAAACCGCTGTAGATTATATCTCCCAGCACTGAGAAGTGGATACTGATATTGAACATTTGTGACTGAATATTGCAAAACAATGCAAATATGCGCAAACATGCATTCACACACAGACACAGATGCTCCTGTAAAGCAAGGATACTAACACATAGTATTTAAAACTGATTTGCTTTCAATTAAGATAATGTGCCAAACACTCACAGCACAGCATATACTCACCTATCTTCCTCTTCTTCCTTAACCACTGCAACACTGCTGACTGAATGATCACAGTCTCCACTAACACTTAACAGCACTGTACTAACAACTGATCTTATCACAGAGAGACACAGAGACACAGGGAGAGAGAGAGAGAGAGAGAGAGAGAGAGAGAGTATGAGGAGAGG